AGGTTGACGCAACTTCCAATCTATTACAACTTAAACTCCTTAAAAAAAAAAACATCATCTGGTTTAGTGGTTGGCGTATCGGGCTACGGATCGAAGGTTCCCCGCACTTTCAGCTGTGGACGCATTAGATGAGTGAAACCCCATTCGGTTATTTGGTCCAAAGAGCTGGACAAAGACCTTGATCAGTAGTTCAAAGTTAGGGACCACTTACCTAAATCCCAGTGGTCCTTGTCCTGGTCGTTTAGCCCACGTGCACACAAGGTGCCATTCAGGTTGAAAATTTCAAATTCAAATTTCTTTTGTTCGAAGATTGGGACGAATTGAGTTTTGTATTTAGCTTCAAAAAAAAAACCTTTTGGTATCCTGAACTGAATTGTTCTTTCCACTCCTACATACAGCATCTGTTCATCCCTGTCTCTCGCTCTGAAACAACTTAGTCAGTGTTATAGAAAGTTATTCTTTTGAACAAATTTCACTTGTTTTCGTTTGATAAATATTTAGAATCGTTCAAAGAAACGCGTTGTTTTTTTTATCTCGCTGATTGATGTAGTTCTCATTTTGTTTTTGACGTTTTCCCCCCTTGTAATGGATCTCAGATTTTCTATCTAATTATGGAATAAAGAAAGAAACTAAGGTTGTCTGTGATGTCGTTAATGGAGATTTTATTGCCATCATCTACACTGCTGACAGGCAGAGAAACTGTTTTAGGCTTAAGAAACGCTGTTGACCGGAGCACAGACGGACAGTGTTATTTTATTGAAACAATCCACCTAATGGGACCGTTAATGGACGCCAATATTCGATACTAGTCCTGTGAGCGCGGCTACGGACCGAGTATGAGCTCCGACTCCAAGAAAATTTGATTTTTCCGACCAGAACAAAGCCTCGTGGATTCTAAACTACCAGCAGCATAACTGCTTTGAGAAACAAAACAAGGTTTTAATTGACTCAGAGTAAAATAAAAATTAACTAAAATCACGTGTACGTATACATATTAATGTTCGTGGCCATATTGTTAAAACTGAGATATTATATAGAATTTTTAGAATGAACCCATAATTAACAAAAGATACGTCTTATCTCGTTGTTTTGTTTGTTTGTTTTTGAAGTTCGCGCAAAGCTACACGAGGGCTATCTGCGCTAGCCGTCCCTAATTTACCAGTGTAAGACTAGAGGGAAGGCAACTAGTCATCACCACCCACCGCCAACTCTTGGACTACTCTTTTACCAACGAATAATGGGATTGACCGCCACATTATAACGCCTCCACGGCTGAAAGGGCGAGCATGTTTGGTGTGAAGGGGATTCGAACCCGCGACCCGCAGATTGCCGGGCCCAAACATAACTTAAATTCAAGTTTTAAAAAACTGAAATAGAAGATTTAAGTGTTTGGGCTAATAATTGTTTGTTTGTTTGTAATAAAGCACAAAGCTACACGATGGGCTATCTGTGCTCTGCCCACCACGGGTATCGAAACCCGGATTCTAGCGTTGTAAGTCTGCAGACATACCGCTGTGCCACTAGGGGGCGGGCTAATAATAACAATAAGATTCGCCAATAGTGAATTAAACATAATTATTAAGACACTTCTGGAAACTCGGCTGTTTATTTGGCATCGTTACGTGAAGACGAAACACAAAACAAATGAGAATAAGATACCATTTTTACTTAGTAGAAAAACAGGCCGAAATTTGTTACCTCGCACCATCGAATCAAGTACAAAATACCATGTTTTGTATTTAAATTTTTTAAAGTAGTATCGTAAATATACATTCGAAGGATGATTAAGATTGAGAAAACGAAAGCGTTTGATGCTGAAAATGGAGGCAGTCCCACAAGAATTGCTCAAATTATTTCTATCGATTAGCTAATGGACTACACAAACCTGAAGCGTCGACGCAGAAAGATGCGCAGTGAACATAAAAAAAATAAAGAAACATAAGGAAAGTATTGAATATAGAAGTACGTTCCGTCTCTTCCACTAAAGGAAAGTATTTAATATAGAAGTACGTTCCGTCTCTTCCACTACAGTTTCTTGCTCGCTTGCTTCGATCGTGCAAAGCTACACATGTCCCTAATTTTGGGTTCATAGATTAAAGGGAAGGTAGCAACCATTCAACAGTATTCACCGCCAACTACACGGCCCCGGAATGAGGGCACGCTCCTTGCGGCAATGGATGGCGAACCATAAAACCTCGGGAGTTGTCAGTCAAGGTATACTAAGCACTAGACACGCCCGGCCTACTGTAGCATCAACTGTCAGTGTTCTATAATATATAATATTCAAGTACGGGAAACATCATACGACATAGACAGTTCTTCATTATTTATCATTGCATCATAATGCCAATTTTGAAAAACAAAACAAAACAAATGTAATATTAAAAGCTTTCGCAAGAGGGCCGGAAATGGCGTAGTTGTAGAGGTAGAAGGTTTGTTTGATTTGTTGTATTTCGCGCCAAGCTAGGGTTACCTACGCTAACCGTACCGAATTTTGATGCGAGATAAAGCAGCTAGACAACACAACCCGCCGCCAACTCTTGGGCTACTTTAATCGAATAGTGGGACTGATCGTCATATTGTCCCCACCCCCACGGATTATGTGTCGAGTGTCCTTTGCCCACCACGGGTATCGAAACCCAGATTCTAGCGTTGTAAGTCCGCAGACATACCGCTGTGACACTGGGGGACAAATCAAACTATTATTTGTTTGTTTGTAGTTGAAGCACAAAGCTACACAAAGGGTTATCTGTGCTCTGCCCACCACGGGTATCGAAACCCGGTTTCTAGCGGTATAAGTCCGCAGACATACCGCTGTGGCACTGGGGGGGGCTGCTTAAAAGAAGCGGCGCTCTTCTGTTGGCGGCTGTTTTTGCTTTGTGTTCTAAAGTTGGCTTAAGACACGACAAGAACGAAACACAAAGTCACGTGTACTAAAAATCAGTTCTTAGTTTCTACCGGATCAGAGATCCGGAGCGTGTTTTGGATTTTTATTTTAATCTAAAGGTGTAAACTCTATTACAAGTAATTTTAAGTTTGTTTTTTAGCACAAAGTCACATACTGCGTTATCTGCGCTCTGTCCACCGCGGGGAATGTAACTCCGGATTTTAGCGTTTAAGTCCGTAAACTTAGCGTTGACCCAGCGTGGTAATTTAATTTTCAGACTGCCTCGGTTGCATTGCGAATGAATATTTGACTGATGTACTAGTAAATTACATTACCCTCTCCAACTTCATCCTAACAATTGTCCCCCCCCATTCGCAGAGACTCAGCGGTATGTCCGAAGGATTCGATAACCGCGGTGAACACTGGGTTTGAGTGATTTTGAGTTTTAAAAGATATCACTTTAAACGTTATTGACGCTGTAATTTGGGTTTCTTTCCTTGTTACTAAACACAGAGCTGCACAATGGACTATCTGTGCTCATTGTTAGGAGATATTATTAACTGTTTAGTTAACTTGCTTCCAACACATACAGCATTGTTAGGACGTGTGTGTGTGTATATATAACAATGTGTTTGCATTGTTAACCGTTGGTTCTGGCATACATCGCTGTTATTAATTTCTGTAGTTTTTAAGTCATAGTAGATTCGCCCTCTGTAGCAGAACTAACTTCGCAAAACAAATTAACAAATAATTATCATATTTGACTCATTCGGAGATCATGATATGCCAGCATATTATAGTAGAAATGTCTTGTTTGTTTGTTGTTAAGCTCAAAGCTACACAATGAGCGGTCTGTGCTGAGCCCACCAAGGGTATCGAAACCCAGTTTTTTTTAGCATTACAAGCCTTCAGACTCACCGCTGGGCCACGGGGGAGGTGAGGGGCTATAGTAGAACCACTTTGATCAAACCGGAAACCTAACGTATAGTACGGGATTGTACTGTCTTAAGTGTAATTACTTTAATTACCTTATATATGTATTTTAATTCCTTATTAAGCGCTAAGTCGCTGCAATATTAAAACATACTTTTTATAACGGGATAACAAGGCCGGGTGTAATTACTTTAATTACCTTATATATGTATTTTAATTCCTTATTAAGCGCTAAGTCGCTGCAATATTAAAACATACTTTTTATAACGGGATAACAAGGTCGGATGTCGGATGGAATGGCTGTTTTAGTTTCATACACAAAGAGATAAAGACGGTTTAATAACAATTATTGAAAATTCCCAAGGTTTAGTTTGATCATTCCATGGTGTTACATGCGTTATAAATGAGTCTTGGGATTCTCTTGGGTTTAGTTTGACCAGTAATAGTGTAGTTCGATCATTCAGTCGTGTTACACGTGTATAAAGTGCATCTCAAAAGACTGGAATTTGTGAGGCCGAACTTAGTTACTCAGTGCCACTGCCATGATTTTAGCCAAAACTGGGTGTGGCCAGTAGTTAGCGTGTCCAAATTGCGGGTCTAAAGATTCGTGGTTTATTTTCCGTTGTCGCAAAAACCCGCCCTTCAATTTGGGGCCTTGAGTGCGTCACAAGAGTCGCTTTCAAACCCCACTAGTCTATCACGCAAGAGTAGCCCAAAAGTTGGCGGTAGGTGCTGTTGATAGTTGCCATCCCTTTAGTATGTCAGTTCAAAAGTAGGGACGCCTATGTGAAAATTTGGGTGAAAATTTAACAAACAAACGAGCTTTTAGTGAACGTATCTCACTGATTAGTGAATAATGAACGAAAAGCTCACCATTACGATCCTGTTTTATTTCGGGTTCCTTTGACGGAGAATCCTTGTATAACGTTGAATCGGGACGGGCAGGACAAACTTGTAATTTGGTAATTCGAGGGAAAGAGTCATCTATCGAATTGAGGAGTAGTTAAGCTTTAGGCTAAACGAGGAAAGTGGCGGGAATACTTCTGGTCTCTCACAAAGCTGATTCCTCGGAGAGTTATAATTCAATTAAGAGTCGTGAAGCAGCGTGAGAGCGATGGTCCAGTGACAACACAGACGGAGTCAGAATTAGAAATTTTGAATAGAAGCAAAAGCTACCGCAAGTCCCTCCCCCTAGCGGGGCAGGAAGGAGTTGGCGGCAATTGCTGGAGAGCTCAACGGTAGCAGAGTGGGCTCGACTATAAAGCTGGTTGAACATGTAGTACTATTAACATTCGAAGACTTCTAACAATGGAATACCCTTACATCAACCAGCACAGCTTCGATCCCGGTTGTATGGATCCAGGCTTGTCATCGTGTCAGCGGCCATATTCTTACACCGACTTTACGTCTTGCGGCCAGGTCACCCAAATGTCTTACCGGTACTCCTCGCCATTCCACGGACCACCCGGTGCAGCGATGACCGCTTCATCCTGCGGCATGATCACCCGTCCCCGCCCCGAGTCCGTGCATATGCCGCCAGCTGCAGCAGCTCCGACCATCTTTCATACCAATATGGGACTACAAAGTAAGTGGCTGCGAACCTCTGGTAATGTCGCTTCTTAAACCTTCCTTAGCTACAGCTAACTTCATTAAGCTCCCAACCCGGGGCAGAAATGAAATAATTTAATACAATATAATTTAATGCCAATAATCTTGTTGCGAAGCACGAGCGAACTTCCGGGTCCCCACCCCCCTCTTATCCATCCTTCCACGATCTCACACGGTTGTATTACATGGTATAATATTTATCAATGTTCGAAGTGGAATTCCGTTCTGAAGGGAAGCCGAAGGGGGTGACAGTTAACAAGGTTAAGAAACAAGCTCTAAATCAGATAACCTCTAACTAAACCAGCGCAAATTGGATGAGGCATTAGATCTCCATGGTTATTGTAATACGTAACTCCTCCGATAGAAAGAAAAACAGATAGACAAACAAATAAACATATTGAAATTTATCTTTATAAATCCAGATTAACGCTTAATTAACCCTCGACGATTTATAACACTATAGATTGAGCGAAAAACAAAACTGGTGTAGATATTTAAAATTGTTTGTTTGTTTGTAGTTAAGCACAAAGCTACACAATGGGCTATCTGTGCTCTGCCCACCATGGGTATCGAAACCAGGATTCTAGTGTTGTAAGTCCGCAGACATACCGCCGTGCCACTGGGGGGGGGACGGCAAATATTTAAGATGTCTTAATGGGAAAAAAATAATAAGACTGGTTTGATTGTCGTATGTCTTCTTATAAATGGCGGATTACTTAAGTTTGATCAAGATATCTTAAAGGTAAGCCTAATCATTTACGAAGTATTGTGACTTATTAACTTCTAGAGACCGTATAAAATCTTAGAGGTAGAAACATCTGATTAGCTCTGTGTTCTGTTGTAGGAAAAAGATAAAAGTATGAGCGAAAATAACTTCGATCTAAAGGAGCAGATAAAAATTCGCTTTTTTTTACTCCAACAATAAAAATGGTTTATTAGCTGAACAAATATTGTAGCAAAAAAATATATATATCTAATCTAGATAACTGCTTTTAGTATTGACTTATAACGATTACCAGTGTGTATCAATTACCAGCACGCGAATAGTGTGCATGAGAACGATGTTACACGTTGAATTAGATACACCTTTTCAGGAAAATGTTTGGTTTGTTTGGATATTTCCCACAAAGCAAGACGAGGCTACGCTTCCCTAATTTTGATCCGATAGACTAGAGGGAAGTCAGCTACTTTTTTTTTTCTTTTAAATCGAACAATGGGATTTGACTGTCACTCTTATAACGCGCCCGAGGCTCCAAAGTGCGGAGCACGATTTTCGGCAACGGGACGCAAACAGTGGATCCCCTAAATCTATTAGGACACGCCCAGCCTTATTCAAGACGAGTGCAATGCATTTCATTAAGGCGTACCGTATCTAAGAAGTAGATAAAAATTATAATAACCTTTAATTGAGCAAAACCCAACAGGAGGTAACGGGTTAGTAGTAACCACAGAAACGACGAATAACTTGTAAGGATTTAAGTTTCGATGGCTCTTTATTGGAAGAATGACAAAAGTTCAAAACCATCTTTATAGGGACGTTTTTCTGTATTCAGTTCTCGAATGTTCTGAATGTCATCGAAATCTTGTACAAGGTAATTTATTCTAGTTAGCCTCTATATTTTGGAGGCCTGGTGGTCAGGGCACTCGACTTTCAATTCCTGTAAACAAACATGCTCACATTTTCAACCTTGGGGGATGTTATAATGTGTCGGTCAATTATAATTTTTGTTCGTAAAAGAGTAGGCCATGAGTGGGCAGTTAGTGGTGTCGACTAGCTTCCTTCCCTCTGATCTACCACTTCAAAATTAGTGACGGCTGGAGGAGATAACCCTCGAGTAGCTTTGTGCGAAGTTCAACAAACAAACCTATATATTTTGATATAAGAATTCATTTCTGTTATATAACTTATGATAAATTAGTTAATTTCGAAGTGTGTGTATACGTTGTTTGTTTGACGTCATATGAATTGCAGTTACGCCTCTTCTAAAACAACGAATACTATATTAAAGTAATAACAAAGTTCATAATGTATTTGGCTCAAGCAACTATATATACATAATTTTCAGACTACCCGCGGGCATTGTCCTACAAGATGTATCCCGGGCACGAAGGTGTGCTGTCGGAGAAGCGGAAACAACGCCGTATCCGAACCACATTCACGAGCGGGCAACTGAAAGAGCTTGAACGAGCTTTCCAAGAAACCCACTACCCAGACATTTACACCAGGGAAGAGATCGCTATGAAGACAGAGCTAACAGAGGCAAGGGTTCAGGTTAGTACGACTAAAAGTATAAAAAGAACGCCTAAAATTTTAAATCTAACACTTAACCTTTATATAACCAAAAACAAATACCCCTGTAAAAGTGTTTCTTCCTGTATACACGTCGGTAATACAGAAAAACCTACATTACGAGGTCAGAGCTGTAATATTTTGAAAGCTCACGAAAACAATCTATATGAGAATAATCGTCATTCTTATATGGATATCTTACTTTTAGCTATTTTTGCCTTTAACAATTATACTAGCTTCGATCTTCTAATATCTGTATGTTTACTACTTAGAAAAAAAAAACACAGTTATCATATCGATAAATTTCTGACTCACATAAATAATGTTAAAACACAATATTAATATCCTGAAACGATACAGAAGACATACATAAGTGAACGATATACGGTCGATGTTGTTTTGAAAACGACACGATTGTACATAGGAATGAACGTAACAACTAAGTAAAAAAGAATTTAAACGACAAACGATAAAGAACCAATGAAAATATTAACTAGCATATTATCAACCTTACCACTCCTCCCTCGGACCAGGTGTATTTAAATTAACGTATTAATAATGTTTTCAAAAACATGAACAGCACCTTTTGCGACTCACTGGCTAAACGTACAAGCATAGCCATTTCTATGTTAGAGATACTGAACAGAGAGGAGGAAAGCAACCAGCAGCGCCCGCCGCCTATGCGACTACTCTTATTCAAATAGTGGGGTTATCCGTAACTCTTAAAATGCTCCCAAAGCTGAAAGTGTTTAGCGGAATATTGCGGCTCGAACCTTAGACCTGCCAAACTGCATCGCTAGCCACTAAGACACGCCCAGCCCACACTACCAAAGGAAGTCGAAAATCAAACTTTTCAAAGTATAAATGAAATACGTTATATTACGATACCTTATGACTAGAACATAAAAACTTGACATTGACTTAATGCATCAAAAAAGTAATATCATTAAATTCAGAACAATGCAATGTGAGTAGGCTTAAGTGTTCTGCTAAGCATCAAAACTCCTGATTTCGCTAGGTTATGTCTGATCATAAAAATGCACGTGGCCTCGATGTTAACGGAACAACAGTATAGTAAAAACATATTGCACGCGACATGTACAAGACTTGCGCGTAACCAGAGGGCGGCCATCTGGACCATAAAACAATATTATTAAGAAATTCGGATAAAAAAAAACTAAGCTAACTATATAGATCAGAACTACTATAATTAATAATAAAAAGTTACGTACATTAATAAAGGCACTTCTGGATAAGTAACTGATCAGAAGTGCATGTTGAAAATCAATAAACAATAAAACTAAGCCTATAATGGGTTAGAATTTAAACGCCGAAAGCCGGCTAAATATCGGAAAACAACAAGTTAATTGTGTGTTTCAGCTTCCTGTTAATTTGTCCATTACGGTTCCAAATCATAGAAACCTTCATCTCTCATCTTCCAACCCAACTGACGAGTTATGGTATTATCCGAAAAGCTTCTTGGGCAGCGAGAAGTGGAAGAAAATAATTGTTTGTTTGTTTTGGAATTTCGCGCAAAGCTACACGAGGGCTATCTGCGCTAGCCGTCCCTAATTTAGCAGTGAAAGACTAAAGGAAAGGCAGTTAGTCATCACCACCCACCGCCAACTCTTGGGCTACTCTTTTACCAACGAATAGTGGGATTGACCGTCACATTATAACGCCCCCACGGCTGAAAGGGCGAGCATGTTTGGTGGGATGCGGATTCGAACCCGCGACCCTCAGATTGTGAGTCGAACGCCTTATCCACCTGGCCATGCCGGGCACCGAGTTATGGTATTATACGAAAAGCTTATTGGACAGCGAGAAGTGGAAGAAAATAATTGTTTGTTTGTTTGAAGTTAAACACAAAGCTACACAATGGGCTATCTGTGCTCTGCCCACCACGGGTATCGAAACCTGGTTTCTAGCATTGTAAGTCCGCAGTCATATCGCTGTTGTGCCACGGGGGGGGGGGGGGGCGGAAGAAAATAAAGACGGATCTAAAACACCTTTTTTTTCTTCAAACACCCCCAATTTCAAACAACAGCTGTGGAGAGGTTAATCCGAATTCGAAAACAACAACAACTGTAATAAACTTAAAAACTTTAAAACAAACTTTAATGATTTGATTCCACGGAATCACTTATTTTGTACCTTCGGTTAGAAAACGTTGTTGGTTCAAAGTTTTCGCGGAAAGTTACACGAAAGAGCTATTTCTACGTAACTGTCCCTAATTTTGAAATAATATACTAGATGGAAGACAAACTAGTCAAGAGCACCCATCGCCAACTCTTGGGCTACTCTAATCAAATAGTAGGATCAAACAGTCACTCTTATAAAGCACCCACGGCTTTAAAGTGCAAAGAGCATTTCTACGGAAAAGGGCTGCGAACCATGAACCCTCAGATTTATAGACCGAGCATTCTAACCACTCTATCATCTGAAATAACTTGATACGACAAAATTACTCTTAGTCAGTAAACTATCATAACCGCTTTCAAAAGGTACTTAACAACTAATTAACTCCCTCTTAGTCAGTAAACTATCATAACCGCTTTCAAAAGGTACTTAACTAATTAACTCCCTCTTAGTCAGTAAACTATCATAACCGCTTTCAAAAGGTACTTAACTAATTAACTCCCTCTCAGTTAGTAAACTATCATAACCGCTTTCAAAAGGTACTTAACTAATTAACTCCCTC